CGCTCGGTTCGGGATGTCTGTGTTGCCTGTCGGTGATGACGGATGGTCGTCGGAGTGTCTCCCTGGCTCAGCGGGTGGTGGGAACCAAGAGTCTGCGGGGTTCACCCGTGATGTGAGTAGGTGATGTGCTGCTTTGCTCCGTGTTGGATGTGTGGACGTCCTCGTCTGCGCTCTGCCGCTGCCCTGCTGCCTGTCCCGCTTGCCTCGCGTGCGGCTCTCTGCGAATTGCTGTGTTCGCTGCGTGGTGTGGCCGTGTTGCTGGTGTTGCCTTGTGCTTCGCTGCTTCGCTGCCGTGCTGCTCATCCGCTGGTCGTGCCTTCCGTGTTGCTGCCTGTGTGCCCTGTAGTTGGGTTGCCTTGTTGCTGGTGTCTTGTGCTCCGCTCCACGGTTGCCGAGCTGCTGGGTGCTTCACAGGGTTGCTGCTCGCTGCTGTGTTCCGTTTGGGACAGTCTGCCTTCAACAAGGGTCAAAGGGTTCATGACCCAAACCATCAAATACGGAGATTCTGCAGATTGTCGAGGGTTCAGCCTCCTGATGAGTCGGTGCAATTCCGACGAAACAATCTTTCATCATCAGTTTTATTTTTTTTGGTTGTTTCTTTGTCTATACTTGTTTTTTTCGGGTGCTGTTTTTGTATTGTAGTTGTTTGTTTTGCTGGTGTTTGATTTGCTGTTTTGTGCTGTTAGCCTTGCGGCATGCTGTCTATCTGGAGCAACATATGCCCTGTGCCGTTTGTCTGGAGAAACATAGGCTTGTGCTTGCTTGCCCACCCGCCTCCCCCGTGCCCTCCAGCCTATATGCTTTGTTGTTTTGTGTTGTTTGCTTGGCGGCTTGCTGTGGTCTTTTCCTTGCTGTTTCTGTTGTTGTGAGGTGCCATATAACACGATGGATTTTAGAATTTTGTGGAATCCTATGGGGCTTTACCTTGTGAGGTGACGGTGAGGTGGAGCATGTACTTATTACGTGCTGAGGCCACAGCAACATGTGTTTTCACACACATCTACACACACACACACACACATGTATGCCCTCTCTCTCTCTCTCTCTCTCACACACACACACACACACACACACACACACACACGCCCACGCCCGCCCGCACACACACACACACACACACACACACACACACACAAACACACACACGAGATTGAACAAAGAAACGGTGTTTAGATCAGCCAAAGAAAAGGACGAAAAGAAAGCTGCGAGGAAGGAGGTCGGTCGGAGGGGCAAGGGAGGGAGGGAGGAGGTCAAGAGGAAGGAGGAGGTATGCAGAAAGGGGAAGCGATGCAGGGAGTAGGATGGAAGGGCGAAGAAGGGAGGGAGAGGCCAGGCTGTGGGAAGAAGTACGCAGATAGGAGGGAGGGGAGAACTTGGGCAAAATGACGAAGTAAAGAGGGAGGACGGAGGAGGAGGTCAAGCTGAGGGAGGGAGGAGGAGGTTGCGAAGAGGGTGTGAGCAGAGGAAGGGAGGAAGAGCTCAGGTGGAGATTGGGAAGGAGGAGGAAGTGAGGAGGGCATAAGGCGGCGGGATGGAGGAGAACATCTGTTGGAGGGGGCGAGAAGGTCGGGCTGAGGAATGGCGGACGAGGTCGGGCACAGGGAGTGAGAAAGCCCCGCGGACATCGGACAGAGAAAGGGAGAAGAGGTGGTTGGCGGAGAGAGCAAAGGTCGGGTAGAGGGAGTATGGTAGGTATTTATTCGCAGAGAAAATCGCTTTTAACACCCCCTTATAGCACCAGCACATGGCCCCAGCCAAGTTGAGAATCCGATTGGCCCTCCTCAAAGATTTTGGAGGCTCGCGCGCTGCGCTGGCAGCCTCCGAAAGGGGCGAGTGCCCGATGGCTGGCATGTACTGGTCCTTTACATCCACCTTTGTGCTCAAGCCCTTCGTCGGAGGAACAAGCTATCACAGCATGGCACACACATCTCGAAAGAAGAGGGCGGCATACTTCTCATGCAAAGCCACATCCACGTCTCCGCATCTGGACACTTCAATATTGGGCACAAGGGATGAATGGAAAAGGGTAGATGCCAGTGCAACAATGCCGCGAGGACGGCACACATCTATCTTATCAACCCTCATAGCCGCATAAAACGGTGAGAGCTAAATGGGAAAAGGAACAATGATGACAACACAGAATGCAGAGTGAGGAAGCAGACAGGGGAAGAGGAAAGAGCAAGCAGCAGACTGCAGCACATCACATAGCCCTCTTCTCAATGCCACAAACGCAAACAGTCTACACCATAATTTGCACCAACTTGTTGCTTGCTAGGAGAGCAAACAGGTAAACGAACAAGAAGATGACACCGGAATTTGCACCAACTTGATGCTCGCTGGGAGAGCAACCCCTGGTAACCAACTTGATGCTCGCTGGGAGAGCAACCAACAACGTGAAAGAATGAATAATGACGAAGAGAGAGCAAGAGCAAACACGACCAACTGCACAGCTATACCACATAAGGAAGCCTTCTGCACATTGTTAAATAAACGCAAACAACCTCACCATTTCTTTCTTCACACCGACAAAACTCGAGCCTTTCCTTCGCCTTCAGTACAGGCGTTAGGCAAAGTCACCTGCCCGCAGCTCTTCTTCTCGCTCTCAACCGCGAGCTGTTCTTCCAGATCCTCAACATCATGAAAGCAAACGACTCCGGAGTAGAGCAACCAAACTTCCGCCTTTCTTTGAGCTCCGAAACTTTTGGCTTTCTTCCAGCTTGAAGCTCACAACTCCCTCTTATCAACCTCAGATATTATGGACGGACCAACGTGGGGCGGGGGAGGG